CCTGCCTACATCTTCCTGAAACCCATAAGAACCATAAACGCCTCTACCCTCTACCCCTAGAGCCCTATAAGCTCAAACAGTTGTCACAGCTTTAGGAAATGTATGGATTGCGCTAAGCCCTAAACCCCAAACCCCAAAACCCCAACACCCCAAAACCCCACAATTCGCAAAACCCCAAAACCCTAAAACCCTGAAACCCTAAAGCCCTAAAGCCCTAAAGCCCTAAAGCCCTAAAACCCTAAAACCCTAAAACCCTAAAACCCTAAATCCCCAAAACCTTAAAAACCCTAAAACCCCAAACCCTTGTCACTGCTTCAGGAGATCCCAAACCCTAAACCCTAAACCCTAAACCCTAAACCCTAAACCCTAAACCCTAAACCCTAAACCCTAAACCCTAAACCCTAAACCCTAAACCCTAAACCCTAAACCAAACCCTAACCCTAAACCCTAAACCCCTAAACCCTAAACCCTAAACCCTAAACCCTAAACCCCCTAAACCCTAAACCCTAAACCCTAACCCTAAACCCAAAACCCTAAACCCTAAACCCTAAAGTCAATGCTTCAGGTGGGCTAGGGTTTTCAGCCTGCTCCTGCTCAAAGGAGTCGGCGACGCTGCGGCGCACGCCGGGCTTGGTGTGAAAAGGCCTCATATCGGGGGCCTTAAGACTTAGATTAGGGTTTAGGGTTTAGGGTTTAGGGTTTAGGGTTTAGGGTTTAGGGTTTAGGGTTTAGGGTTTAGGGTTTAGGGTTTAGGGTTTAGGGTTTAGGGTTTAGGGTTTAGGGTTTAGGTTAGGGTTTAGGGTTTAGGGTTTAGGGTTTAGGGTTTAGGGTTTAGGGTTTAGGGTTTAGGGTTTAGGGTTTAGGGTTTAGAGTTTAGAGTTTAGAGTTTAGTATGTTATATTTATATAGGGCGCATAAGGGACCACTATTCGTATTTATTCCGACCCCTATCTTATCAGGGGGGGATGCGGGCTTAGGGTTTGTCAGGGTTTAAGGGGGAAAGGGTTCAGGAAATAGGGTCGATTTTTTGGGGGGGGGGTTCAGGTCCGGGAAAGTCTCGAGGAGTGTCGGTGAGGATCGATCAAAGTTTCTTCTTTCAACTTTCGAAGGTCTAGTTTCAAGTAGGGTTTTCAAGGGGGATCACGGCGTTGATCACGGGCTACAGAAGCTGCAACGACGGATTCCACTTCGGTCTTGAAAAGGTCAAGCCCATGAAACGACGTGGGTGTAGACACCTGTCTCGGCGACTTCGTACAAATCCTCAGCAGCATCGCTGTGCCCAGCAGTGATGATCGCTAGTCCATGCCAGGTATCTTCGAAGATTACCGATTGCTCTGAAGCAGGTGCCGGCAAGCTCGCCAGAGAGCTACCCGACACTGCTCATGATGACGCCACGAGACTGTTTTGTGGCCAGTTCTCCTTGATCCCAGAATGGCGACGGCCCTAAACCCTAAACCCTAAACCCTAAACCCTAAACCCTAAACCCTAAACCCTAAACCCTCGTTAAACCCCAAAAACCCTCAACCGACATCCTAAGCCCTCCTCAGCACCCAAGGCAGATTAAGAGGGGAGGCTTGGTGTGGCAAGGCCTAGACGCAGGCTTTTGGATGAGGGCGCAGGGCTCTGCGGATGGGTTAGGCAGAGAGAGAGAGAGAGAGAGAGAGAGAGAGAGAGAGAGAGAGAGAGAGAGAGAGAGAGAGGAAGAGAGAGAGAGGGAGCGAGGTTTAAGGTTTAGGGTTTAGGGTTTAGGGTTTAGGGTTTAGGGTTTAGGGTTTAGGGTTTAGGGTTTAGGGAGAGAGAGAGAGAGAGTAGCGGTCTTAGCGGCCGGCAACTCGTTGCTGGTGTCGGCATGCCAGTCGGGGAGGTAGCTCGAAACCTCACCAAAGTCTCTCATTCCACAACCTGACCCAAGCACGAACTAGGATGGCCCTTAAAAGACCCTCTGAAAGATGTTCCTGAGCATCAATACTCTTAAGCCCAAAATATACAAATGTCCCAAGGGCCTACCTAAGCCTGGCAAGTTGCCTTAAACCCGATGCCCGAAAACCCGAAAGCCCAACACTCTCCTTAACAAAAAGCAAACTTAGCAGAAAACCGGACCCCCCGCCCTTTGTAAACCCCAGACGTGACGCTGAAAGCCCGAGCCCAGAACCCGGACTGTTGCTGCATGGCATTCGGACTGCAATGCGGCGTTCATGGAGACAACTAAACCCTAACCCGAAACCCTAACCCGAAACCCGAAACCCTAAACCCTAAACCCTAAACCCTAAACCCTAAACCCTAAACCCTAACCCGAAACCCTAAACCCTAAACCCTCGGCCCACATTCTGGCTGAGTTGGGCCCCTTATGTCCATAAGGGAATTCAGAAACTCTTGAAGACCTAAAGCCCCCTCAGACCCCTGCAGTTCACATGAACCCTGAACCCTATAAACCCTCCAAACCCTCAAGACCTTTCCAACCCTACAAACCCTTTAAACCTAATGAACCCAAAAAAACCTCTAATCCCTAAACCCAAATCCCTAAACCCTAAAGCCCTAAACCCTAAACCCTAAACCCTAAACCCTAAACCGTAAACCCTAAACCCAAAACCCTAAACCCTAAACCCTAAACCCTAAACCTCACCCCTCGCACGACAGGGAAGCTACGGGGCCTCGGCCGCGAGGCCGCGTAGGGCGGCCCCCAGGGATGGCATGGCCGCAGTGCAGAAGGCGATGGGTTTAGGGTTTAGGGTTTAGGGTTTAGGGTTTAGGGTTTAGGGTTTAGGGTTTAGGGTTTAGGGTTTAGGGTTTAGGGTTTAGGGTTTCGGGTTTCGGGTTTGGGGTTTGGGGTTTAGGGTTTCCGGTTTAAGCGTGTAGGCTTTAGGGTTACAGGGTTTAGGGTTATAGGGTGTAGGGTTATAGTTGTTTTTGTGCTTTAGGGGTTTAGGGGATTAAGAAATGTTGAAGGGTTTGTGGGATTAAGCGGCTTCTGGGTTTTAAGCGCTTTGAGTGATTTCGAGGGGTTTAGGGCTCCTGCGGTAGGGTTCTGTGAGCTTCGGGCCTTGGGTCTTATATAGGGCATAGGGTTTAGGGTTTAGGGTTTAGGGTTTAGCGTTTAGGGTTCACAAGGAGTCCGAGCTTTAGAGGGTTGAGGGCGTAGGGCTCTTGGAATCTGAGAGGTCGTCTGCACATGACCGGCCTCTTCAAGCAAACACACACACACACACAAACACACAAACACAAACCAACCAACCAACCAACCAGCCAGCCAGCCAGCCAGCCAGCCAACCAACCAACACACCATAACCCTAAACCCTAAACCCTAAACCCTAAACCCTAAACCCTAAACCCTAAACCCTAAACCCTAAACCCTAAACCCTAAACCCTACGCTTCACTGCGCATGATCTCGCGCCCCCGCCAAAATATGAAGAACCCCCACCGAAACCCTGGACCCCACTTCAGGATGCTGCGGTTTGTGCTGCTCTTGGCTGCTCTTAGCAGGGTAGCTATAAGTTTAGTTTTTAGCTGTCTTCTTACGAAACCCAATAAACCCAAAAAGGCTAAAGATGTAACGTTACAGTAAAGCACCACAAAGTAGGTGTCTTGGGTTTGGGGTTTAGGGCTTGCGGCTGAGATGTTTGTGGATCATGGCGATGCATTTTTTCCCTCTCCGCCGGCGGGACAAGCTGCGAATTCTGAAGCTTCAACGCCCGAAGCCAAAAACCGGGACCCTAAACCTCTAATGGCCCCTAAACTCTAAACCCTAAACCGCTAAACCCCTAAACCTCTAAGCCCCTAAACCCTAACCCCTGAACCCCAAACCCCTCAAACCCCAGTAGTCGATGGGCTTTCCGTGATGTAGTCGCTTAAACGAGCTGGGTCTCAAACTCAGATTCAAGGTTCACGGTTTGGGGTTTTGGGGTCAGGGTTTAGGGTTTAGGGATTTGGGGTTTCGGGTTTTAAGGTCCAAGGTTTCGGGTTTGTAGTCAGCGGTGTCATGTTAGGGGTTAGAGGTTGAAGCTTCAGGGTTTAAGGAGTTCAGGCGTTCGGGGCTGAACCCTAAACCCTAAACCCTGAGCCCTAAAAAGGTGCTCCACGGTCTACAATTTGGGGGGGGTGGGGGGGGAGGGGGTAAAATTTGGGTCCTTCTGGATGTTGGGGTTGAGGGTTTTAAGCTTTGTACGTTTAAGGTTTCTGTTCAGGGCTTAGGGTTTAGGGGCGGGCAAAGCTTAGCTAGGGGTTTAGCTGAAATCTCACAAACCCTAAACCCTAAACCCTAAACCCTAAACCCTAGACCCTAAACCCTAAACCCTAAACCCTAAACCCCAAGCTGCATGGCATGCGCGCGGCCGCAGGCTTGCGATTGGAAAATGAGGCGAAGCGAGTTCTACACTCCCCTTGGAATGACAATCAACATGCTCCTCTTGAAAGCTCCAATGAGCATTTACTTAGAAACCCTAAGATTATCTAAGAATCTAAGAAGACTACTTGAACCTAGGTATATGAACACATAAATGAATACAAAACTAAAACTAAGTGCATATGTATATATATATATACATACATCTGTATGTTATCTGTTTAGGGCATTCTTAAGGAGACTGTAGGGGCTGCTTGCCCAGCGTGCAAGACCCCGACTCACCCCCCCCCAAGCGCGGCCCGCACGCCCAACTTCGGGTGCACCTCTCAGGAGACGAGGGCGACTCGGCGAAGCTTGGGTGCAAGGCGGCGTGGGGAGCGGCTGTCGGACTCGGCCACGGCGGCACCGCAGCAAGGAGCGAAACAAAACGCGAGTAGAATGAACAAAGAGTGAGGCTTTAGGGTTTAGGGTTTAGGGTTTGTGCACTTTGCTGCTTCATATTGGGTTGCCAAGAAAAACTCTAAAGCCCCAGACCCTAGACACCCCTGCCAGAAACCTTAACCTTGGTAGAGCTTAGGGTTTAGGGTCATTTTTCGGGTTTAGGGTGTAGGGGTAGCTTTGAATTTGGCTACAGCGCTTAGGGGTTTAGGGTGCCGCTTCTCACTCATCTGCCGCCTGGAAATCGCCACCTGACCCGGCTACAAATCAAGTGATTCGACATGTTGTTGGCAGCCGAAGGACACAAGACACAGAGTGGCTGGAAACCCTAAACCCTGGACCCTGAGGCAACGGATATCTCAGGTGGCTTTACATGCAGAATCCCCGGCATTGGGAACAAGTAAACGAAACAGCATTCTCAAAGTGTTTTCAGGTGTTGGCGCTTTCGGAATGTCAGTGTAAGCTCACGAGCCATCAACAGCAAACCCTTAACTTTCTACACCCTGAAGCCCTGAATTCCTCCACCCTACACCCTCAACCCGAAAGCCCTAAGCCCCTGAAGCCCCGAACCCTAAAACCTTCTAAGCCCAGCAACCATGTCACAAGAAGGGTACCCTTCTTGATGCTGGTGACGCTTCGAGAGCAACCCAGAATCCCTAAAAAGGGCTCAAGGGTACCACCACACGGCTGCTAAGACCTAGCCCTAAACCCTAAACCCTAAACCCCTAAACCCGAAACCCCTGAACCCCTAAACCCCTAAACCCCTAAACCCCTAAACCCCTAAACCCTTAAACCCTTAAACCCCTAAACCCCTAAACCCCTAAACCCCTAAACCCTAAACCCCTAAACCCCTAAACCCCTAAACCCCTAAACCCCTAAACCCCTAAACCCCTAAACCCCTAAACCCCTAAACCCCTAAACCCCTAAAGCCCAAACCCGAAACCCCTACAGAAAGGAGCATCCCCCGACCTGTCAACGCCTCCATGAGGTCGCCAAGCACCTTCGGAAAGGACCCTAAACCCTAAACCCTAAACCCTAAACCCTAAACCCTAAACCCTAAACCCTAAACCCTAAACCCTAAACTGCAAGACCGACTCTTCAGCTTTTTCTCTCAGGGGTGTGTGGAGTTTGGGCTTCAGAGGCTCCAGGGCTTCGGTTGGGAGGCAGGCTCTTCGTCACCACAATCCCTGAGGCTGAAACCCAAAACCTCGAGCCCTAAACCCTAAACCCTAAACCCTAAACCCTAAACCCTAAACCCTAAACCCTAAACCCTAAACCCTAAGCCCTAAGCCCTAAACCCTAAACCCTAAACCCTAAACCCTAAACCCTAAACCCTAAACCCTAAACCCTAAACCCTAAACCCTAAGCCATAGCCTCTGAACCGTGAGCTCCACGACCCCTAGCCCCCAACCAGCCCCTCACGCCTCCCCCGAAACCCACGAACTCCAAGACCAAGCCCTACAAACTTGGGATTTTCCCTCTCATACTAACAGTCCTTAATCTCTACGGTTTAGGGTTTAGGGTTTAGGGTCTACGATAATCCCCATTCAGGGCAATTAGTAGGAGGGGTACATCCCAAGACTAAACCCTAACCGCTAGACTCATCAACCCCAGGTTGGCAATTGAAACCCTCTGAAATTCCGAAAATAGTAGAGTTTAGGTTTAGGGTTTAGGGTTTAGGGTTTAGGGTTGAGGCTTGAGGGTTGAGGGTTTGGGGTTTAGGGTTTCAAAGCTCTTAAACCTCAACAAGGGAAATCTGACATATCCCCGGGGCCTACCTAGCAAATCCACAACAACTTACATATCATGGCCTTAGGGCTCACGCCTTCTTCCACCTCCACCGTCGGGTACGTAGCCCTATCCCTACAAAGCACAGGTGATGACCCCCCTAAGTCCCAAACCCTAAACCCTAAACCCTAAACCCTAAACCCTAAACCCTAAACCCTAAACCCTAAACCCTAAACCCTAAACCCTAAACCCTAAACCCTAAACCCTAAACCTCTAAGGCCCTTTAGGAGTTGAGGGTTTCAGGTTTAGGGCATAGGGGCTTGGGGCTTCAGGCACCACTAGCACCCCACTCGCAGAGCCCTGCCTGCTTCGCGATCGCCGCGTACCTTAGGAGGTCAGTCGGTGACAGAGGAAGGAGATTCTCGTGAATGCGCCAGAAGGGTTGGAAAGCTTAAAGTCTTAAAGTTGAGAGCTTAGGAAAAAAACCCTAAACTTCGCGGATTTAGGGGTTTTGCTGCTTGATTGGTCGGGTCGTTCAGGTTCTTAGGGCTTGAGGTTCAACTAGGGTTGAGAATTTGGGGTTCTGAAGCACCCTCAGCCACAACCGTCCTTGGCTCATTCTCGGCGAAGGAGTTTCAGAACAACCGTAAGAGTTCTGAGTATCGTATTATCGATAACGACATGACCATGAAAATGATAATGACCATGATAAAGTTGGGATGTTCCCCTCTTCTACTAACCGTCCTTCATAGGGTTAGTAGAACCGTCCTTAACAGGGTACAATGATCCCTATCAAGGACTGTTAGCATTGGGGGGAACAGCCCAAATAACTATAAAAGGTGAAAGAGGTTATATAGAGGAACAAGAATAAGGGTTCCTAGACTGCTTTTATCCCCTAAACCCTATACCCTAAACCCTAACCCCCCCTCATCCTCCAATAGCCCGGCAGCCCGGCCAGCCTCTCACCGTCCAGGAAAGCGACGGACTTGCACCTTGTCATGAAGGGATTCAAGCGGTTTAGGGTTTGGGGTTTAGGGTTTAGGGTTTACGGTTTAGGGTTAGGGATTGGGTTCAGGGCTGAGGGTCTTGGGGGTCAGGGTTTAGGAGGCTGAGAGTTTCAATACAGGGAAAAGCATTCCAAATTGGCTCCCAGTACACCTCTTCAGGTTCTGCAGGATTTCTCGGCGCGTCCGCATACCCACGAATATATTCTGGTCGTCCACGAGCGCCTCAGATGCTCGCCTCTCTAAGTCCTGTCTAAACCCTACAGCCTAAACAACACCCTCCCCCAAACAAACGAAAACCCCTAATCGCAAAGCCAATTCCTCCTAAACCCTCTAAACCATCCAAACCATCTGAACCATCTAAACCCTGAACCCTGAACCCTGACCCTAAACCCTGAACCCTGAACCCTAAACCCTAAACCCTAAACCCTAAACCCTAAACCCTAAACCCTAAACCCTAAACCCTAAGCTGAGACCCTAGACCTGCCAACCCGGAAGTTCCTCGAAAACAACAAAACCGAGGCTCTCCATCCTACATCCCCAGCCATCCATCTCAAACACTCACAAACCCTAAACCCTAAACCCTAAACCCTAAACCCTGAACCCTAAACCCTAAACCCTAAACCCTAAACCCTAAACCCTAAAACCTAAACCCTAAAAAAGTAGGGTTACAAGCGCCTTAGTTTAGGTTAAGACTTTTTGGTTGCCTTGCTTATAACAATACTTGTAATTACCCATGAACCTTGAAGTACGATGATAAGTGCCATAAGCACAGTCCCCTTAGAGCCACATATAGCAACAATAGCCCAGACCCCTGGGAGGATGCAAAACAGTAGATCCCCTCGAGGGTTCCGAAAAATGCCCCAATAGTAGTTTTGGGCATTAGTTGATGGGGTCTACTTTGTGGATCTCTTTTGGGGGTCTGGGACCATGAGCCCCGAAAGAAATCAGAAGACAACCACGGAATCTTCAGTGCTCCCAATAGCAGAACTCCGAACCCATGAACCCGGAACCCTGAAACCCTCAACCCCAAACTACTAACCTTTGAACCCTAAACCTTGTACGACTAAACTACGAAACCCTGAACCCGAAACCCTAAACTACTAAACTACGAAACCCTAAACCCGAAACACTAACCCCTGAACCCTAGACCCTAAACCCCTGAAAGGCTCGTGTACCCGAACCCTGAACCCTGAACCCTGAACCCTAAACCCTAAACCCTAAACCCTAAACCCTAAACCCTAAACCCTAAACCCTAAACCCTACTCAAAGCAGCCCCAGGCGCCAGGTAGTTGCCGGGCAGGGCATCTGGAAAGATCGCCTCAGCCTCCTTCTTCACCTATATTACAGGAATGAGGGGCTGAGGGCTGAGGGGGATATAGGGTTTAGGGTTTAGGGTTTGGGGTTTGGGGTTTAGGGTTTAGGGCTAGGGTTTAGGGTTTAGGGATTAGGGTTTAGAGGGTTGGCTTGAGTCGGGGTTCGGGTTCGAGCGATCAAGGTTTAGGCGTTCAGGAGTTTAGCGGTTTAGGGTTGTATGATGGCCTCGGTGTAAGACTCTGTAGTGAACCCCGAACACAGTGCCACAGTGCTGCAACAAAGCAACTCCGAGCAGCAGAGTGTGGAAATGAGCAAGGCGCACGACTGGGTACGTAGGGTTTAGGGTTTAGGGTTTAGGGTTTCTTAGGGCTTAGGGTTTAGGGTTTCGGGTGTTTGGTGCCCTCCTTCTGACAGAGCATGAATGAATATCTGCGCACGCGTACTCTCAAGTCTGCCACTGCAACGAGCAAAAAAACACACCGCAATTCAGGACAAGAACCCCTGACCCCCAGGTGGCCCCTAAACCCTAAACCCTAAACCCTGAACCCTAAACCCTAAACCCTAAACCCCCAAGCCCCACAACTGGTCCCAACCTGCAGCACTTGGGGTGGAATGGTCCAGAGGAGCTGGACTCCCCCAATCCAGTTGTGCCCTTCGCGAAACTTCGGGTGGCGCTTCTTTCCGCGCTCCTTGACTGTTTTTTCTCTTCTTAGGGTTTAAGATTTTGGGTTTAGGGTTGGCTATTTCTTTAAAGCCCTTTGCTGAATTTAGGGTGTAGGGACTTGGGAAGAGGGATTAGCTAGGGGCAAGTTCTAGGGATTACCTTAAACCCTCAAACCCTTCTTTGAGCTCCGTCTTCCATAGTCCCTTGTATACTGATCCCAGGAAAAACCAACAGCTGTTTTAACAAGGACAGTCGAGGGCTCTAGGGCCATGGCTGCATCTTCATGCATGCGCAGCAGGTGCGCAGTGAGGAAGCGAAGGCTGAAGCTCTCGGGATAGATCGACAGCAGGCCCAGGATAGCGGCCCTGTCCATGCCCTCCACATCCGTACCATGAACTGACGCCAACCTGTCACCTTGTGAGACAGGCTGCTCATAGAATCCTTGGAACTCTGGGTAGACCTCTTTTACCACAGGTGGAGAGGTCCAGTGAATCAGAAGCCCACCAATCCAACTTTCCTCATCCTCTGGTGCTCGGAGAGCCACAGACTGCATGAACCGGTGACGAGATGCTGCCATGAAGGTGATGCTCTGCTTCATGGCTGCCAAGAGCTCCAAAGTGGCCTTCCTCCCCATCCCCCGCACATCTGCATCATCTACCTGAGTTAACACGTCTCCGGGATGCACTGGCTCAGAGAAGGCAGCGTGTGCCTCTGGGGTGATGTCGCGAACAAACGGTGGAGCCGCCCAGGCGATCAGAATACCCCCACACCAATCGCACCCGCCGCTGCCTTGCGATTCTGGGTCCTCTTCTGGGCCACTTTGCAGCGCCTGCAGGTCAAAACCTTCTTGAAACTCATAAGCCGGCAGGCGTCTTTGAGCCTTAAGTCCATTAGCCTGAGAGAAGAGACAAAGACAAATCATCCTACACGAAACCCCTGAGCCCTAAAGCGCGCCTTGCGGGCATCCTTCTGAATCAGCCACAGGCGGAAAGAACCCTTGGGCAGGAGGCGCATGTCGCCCTTCAGGTCTGCCAGCAACTCAAGGATTTGTCCTCTTGTCAGCCCTGGCACCTGGAGTCGTACAGTGTAGGGCTCAGGTCTTCGAGGGTGAGGGTTGAGGGTTTGAGGGTTTGAGGGTTTGAGGGTTTGAGGGTTTGAGGGTTTGAGGGTTTGAGGGTTTGAGCGTGTGAGGGTTTGGGCAGTGCTTGGGCTTGGGGCGTCTCACCGCAGAGCGAAGTTCAAACAAAACGTACCTCCCGCATGCTCCAACACACCCATGAGGTGAGAAATTGCTCTCAGGGTTTAGGCTTAGGCTTCGGGCTTAGGGCTTAGGGCTTGGGGCTTGGGGCTTGGGGCTTGGGGCTTGGGGCTTGGGGCTTGGGGCTTGGGGCTTGGGGCTTGGGGCTTGGGGCTTGGGGCTTAGGGCTTAGGGCTTACGGTTTAGGGTTTAGGAATTAGGCATCCTGAACCCTACACCTCACCCTAAACCCTTAACCCTAGGTTTAAGGTATAGGGTTTAAGACACCTCAGAGACGCATCGCCCAGAGTTCAGTTGGCCCTTCTCCCCCCCCCCCGCCCGGCCCCGCCCCCGGGGTTCGTTTACGCATCCCTAAGCCGCCCTCACCCCCTCAACCTCTAAACCTAAGCCAAAAACCCGAAAAGACCCTGAACCCACCTCGGTGCCGTCCACCTCCAGCAGATGATCACCGACCGTGAGGCCCTTGGCTCCAGTTCCAGGTCTATAGGATTCAGATTCAGGGTTCAGGGTTTAGGGTTTAGGGTTTAGGGTTTAGGGTGTAGGGTTTAGGGGTTTGTGGGCTTGAGGTGCAGGGAGTCGAGGGTGTTGCGAGTTTGAGGCTTTTTGGAGCTGACGGAATCTGAGGTTTATGGGCTTTCCAAGTTTCCAAGTTTGCTCTGGCATGGGCCGCTGGTCGGTTTAGGGTTTAGGGTTTAGGGTGTAGGGTTCAGGGTTCAGGGTTCAGGGTTTAGGGTTTAGGGTTTAGGGTTTAGGGTTTAGGGTTTAGGGTTTGGGGTTTAGGGTTTAGGGTTTAGGGTGCAGGGTTCAGGGTTTAGGGTTTGGGGCCGTTTGCTGGCTGTTGGGCATTACGTGCCAGCCGGTATCCTCACGGGGCATCACAAGGATGTAGACAACACTCACACGAGCGGCACAGCGAGCCGATTGTAGGGTTTAGGGTTTAGGGTTTAGGGTTCAGGGTTTAAGGTTTAGGGTTTAGTTTAGGGTTTAAGGTTTAGGGTGTAGGGTTGGAGCAAGTTTCTGAGAGAAATGAAGTCGGAACCCTGGACCCCGCAGACGGGCGCAGCTTTGAGTCGTCTGGTCAGAACATTCATATGTTAAATCTGTACTTTGCGACAAACCCCCCAAAACTTAAAACTCCAGGCTTAGAGTTTAGAGCTCCGAAATCCTAAGGCCCCTAAACCCTCAACCCTAAAACCCTAAGACCCTAAAAACCTAAAACCCTATAAACCCTAACACCCCAACACCCCAAAACCCCAAAACCCCAAAACCCCAAAACCCTAAAACCCTAAAACCCTAAAACCCTAAACCCTAAAAACCTAAAACCCTAAAACCCTAAAACCCTAAAACCCCAAAACCCTGAAACCCTAAAACCCTAAAACCCAAAAACCCTAAACCCTCAAACCCTAAACTCACACCCTAAACCCTAAACCCTAAACCCTAAACCCTAAACCCTAAACGGCTGCAGCTTGCTGCCCCAAAGGGGCAGGGAAGTGCCGCATGGACTCCGCGGAGAGCTCCCGGACAACCGGAGGCTTCGTCCACGCCAGGCGCATGCCGGCCAGCCTTAGGGTGGGGTTCCTAGACCCAGGGTTTAGGATTTAGGGTTTCGGGTTTAGGGATATTAGGGTTGAGGGATATTAGGGTTTAGGGATATTAGGGTTTAGGGTCGGTTTAGGGTTTAGGGTTTAGGGTTTAGGGTTTAGGGTTTAGGGTTTAGGGTTTAGGGTTTAGGGTTTAGGGTTTAGGGTTTAGGGTTTAGGGTTTAGGGTTTAGGGTTTAGGGTTTAGGGCGTGCCAAACGGAAGCGCGCTTTGGGAGCGCGCGGTAGTCTGCAGACCTACCCACCCCAAGACCGCCCACTTACAACTCTCAAGGAGTTAAAACCTTTTTTTACAAAGCATCACATGAGTCAGCACTCACGCCCTTTTAGGGACCTCCACAAGGTGCGTGGACCAGGCGCAAAGCTGCAGCAGACGGAAACGAGGCAGGGTCAGCGAAGACAGCTTCGGCTGGCCAGGAACAGACAAGGGTAGGGAGGCTTGGTTGGCGCGAAGGGGCTAAAGCCAGGGAGGCAACACACAGTGAACAGCTTGGATTGGGCAGAACGCCACGGAAACAGGGCTGGTGTGGACCAGGCACAAACTGGTGTGCGGACAGCTTGGCTTGGCGCGAAGGGGGTCAGGTGGGGTGCCGGGCCAGGCGTGGACCAGGCACAAAAGGACAGCTTGGTGAGGACAGCTTGGGTTGGCGCGAAGGGGCTATGGGGGGATGGGCCAGGAACAGACAAAGGAGGGAGGCTTGGTTGGCGCGAAAAAACCAGGGAGAGCGCCACGCAAACCTGGCATGGGGCCAGTCAGGGAGGCCAGGGCAGGAGGGGCAGGGCCCAGGGCCAGGGGGGCCAAGGGGGGCCACAGGCCAGACCGCCGGCCAGGGCCAGGGCCAGGGCCGGCCAGGCCCAGAGCCAGGGCCAAAGAGGAAACCAGGTGGGCCAAACCAATTTTTGGCCAGAGCCCTGCCTGCGCCAACAAAACGGCCCCTGGCCCCCTCAGGCCAGCGGACGGGGGTGAGGGACCAGGGGTCTCAAGGGGCCGTCCCAGGGGGCCTCCAATGCAGCCAGGCTGGAGGCCAGCTCAGTCGCCAGCCTGGGGCTCCCTCGCAGGGTCTCACTGAGCGCTCGACCAGCGCCCGCCTACCGCAAAAGACAAGAGAGTGGGGTGGCGGGCGGGTTTAGGGTTTAGGGAGGCCCAGGAGTAACCCAGGAATGCGAAGGGCACCCTTTTTGCCTTTTTGGTCTTAAGGGGAGGAGTTATACGGGAACCCCAACCCTAAAGAAAGGAAATAAGAGGGCCTACTCCGAGTCCTAGGTTCTTAGGGGGGGTATGTAACCCTACACCCTAAAACCTAAACCCTAAACCCTATAAACCCTATAAACCCTAAAAAACCCTAAACCCTAAAAACCTTAAACCCTAAAAACCCTAAACCCTAAAACCCTAAAACCCTAAACCCGAAAGGTTCCCTAGGTACCTACCCCCCAACCCCGTCCCTTCAGAACACTTATTCCTCTGCAGACCTAGGACTTTAGGGCGACGATGCGACTCTCAGGGCGGTGCTGGTTGCTTAAGGCCCCAAACCTCTAAACCCTGAGCCCTAATCCCCTAAACTCCTAAGCTCCTAAAAACACTAAAGCCCGCAACGCCCAACCCTAAACCCCAAACCCTAAACCCTAAACCCCAAACCCTAAACCCCAAACCCTAAACCCTAAACCCTAAGAACCGTGATAGCACAAATAGCCCTCAAACCCCAAAACCACCTGAGACACGCAGCCAGTCGGAGCCTTCCGCGCACTCCAGGTCTGGGAGTGACTCCCCTTCCAAGGCCTTCGCACATGAGAGGCTTTAAGGACTGTTTAGGGTTTAGGGTTTAGGGTTTAGGGCTTAGGGTTTCGGGTTTAGGGTCTAGGGTTTAGGGTTTAGGGTACGGGGGCAACCGAAAGGGGACAAACCAAGGTATCAACCCAACAGTTGCCTAGATAAATTCCCCAGAACGAACCACACCAAACCAGAGTTACGGTCCACCAAAGGGAAAGGGGAAGGGTTGCCGTTTCCACTAAACCCCAAACCCACGCGCTCAAAGTTTTTTGCTGCTGGACGGCAAGTGGCCATCCTTGAGCCACATAGAATCGGGTCATTGTGCCCTTGCTAAACTCCCTTCAACTTATCCTTTACCATCTCCGCATAGGGTTTAGGGTTTAGGGTTTAGGGTTTAGGGTTTAGGGTTTAGGGTTTAGGGTTTAGGGTTGAGGGTTTAGGGTTTAGGGTTTAGGGTTTAGGGTTTAGGGTTTAGGGTTAGGGTTTAGGGTTTAGGGTTTAGGGTTTCATGTTTCGGGTGAAAGGTCTGTTCTTCTTTTTTGTTTATGGGGGGATAGGCAAGACTGTCAGGGTTGGGAGCTAGGGGTTTGTGGGCCTCAGGGGGGGTAATGCTTTAGTATATAGGGTTTTGGGTTTAGGGTTTAGGGTTTGGGGTTTAGGGTGGGTTTGGGGTTTGGGGGCTTAACGCTTCGGCTTCTCCCAGCTGAAGGCATGCTTTCAGGGCTGCTTCTAGCGGGCCTGGTGGGCCGAGAGCCACATCGAGGCAAAGATGCTCTCAGGCGGGAGGACCTGGAGAACGGGTCGGATGTTGGAACTTGGATTGTAGATTGACATGCACCCTCACCCCTCACTACGGTTTCGCACGCTTCTTCGTTGAAACTCAGAGGCTGTAACTACAAAAAACCTTAAACCCTCCCCCCTCCCCCCCTCCCCCTCCCCCCCCCTCTCCCCACCCCTCCTCAATCGAGCCCTGGAACTTCGCGAACAGCTTCAGAACCTCTGTCCGGCTCTTGCGATGGACGTCTTCGCCATCGATGGCAGCCAGGATGCCTGCGGGTCTGTATTACATTACATAGACATATGTGTGTATATATATATACATACATACATATATATGTATATGTATATGTATATGTATATGTATATGTATATGTATATGTATATGTATATGTATATGTATATGTATATGTATATGTATATGTATATGTATATGTATATGTATATGGATATGTATATGGATATGTATAAGTATATATACATACGTATATGCATGCTTCACATGTACAATTATATTGATGCATTGTTGCGTTTGTTGACTGGTTGTCTTATTCATATTTTTTAGGGTCTTAGGGTTTCGAAGGATTTTGCTAGCGAGGTTGGAGGGGTCTTAGGGTTCCTGGTCGAGGTTATTAGAAACTAACTTTTCGCCGGTGTACGTAACCCACTAAAGTCACAAAGCTTGAGTAAAGATGGGCAAGAGACCAGTCTGCTCCCTCAAACGAAGAAACTTCTGCGCATCTGGGAGGATGCTGCAAGTCGCTGGCGTCGACTCCCATGAGATCTCGATGCCGCCAAACCTTGATACCCCGGCCCCAAAATCTTAAACCCATGAACTCCCAAAACCCTAAAGCCCCGAAACTCTAAAATCCAAAAAAACCCTAAACCCGGAAACACTGAGCCCTATGAACCTCCACCACTCTACCCCATACAGAAGCCAAAGGCTCTGCTCGCAGCAGCCGTCCGGGGCCTTTCGGCCAGCAGCCTGCGTTGAGGGTTTGGGGCTTAGGGTACGTAGTTAAGGACTTAAGTTTAGGCTTGACGACTTAGGGGTTAGGGGGAGTTTGGAGGGGTTGCATTCCTGCGGGGCTCAGGGTCACTATGCTAAACTGCTGGGAAGGCGTGGTCATGTTCCTTGCATGCTTCGGAATCAAGCACCCTAATCCATAAACCCAACTAAACCTGAAAACACTAAACCCTATCTCAAACCCTCGACCAGGGGTGAAGAGTCGGCTCGTTTTTACCTTCTTTTCACGCCGCGGAGAGTCCTAAAGCAAAGGGCTTAGGGTTTAGGGAAACTAGAGCCCTATAATGCTGACCTACCCCCGGGAAGAAACCTCGAAAGCCCGAAAGGGGTTTCTAGGGCTTCTAGTTGCTTAGGGTTCTAAGGCTTTCAAGGGTGTGGCGTCTACTTGAAGGTTCATGGTACTTACTAACCAATTATAACTGGGCTTATAACCCTACTTACAATTGGGATAACCCCTTATAAGGCCCTTTAGGGGTATTATAAGTAGGGTTATAAGTACAGTTATAATTGGTTAGTAAGTACCATGAGCCTTCAAGTAGGAACCATGAAGCCAAGGAAGATCGCACCTCTAGGGCATCCTCGCGCACCTTCGCTTTCCAAGACTCCATTTGCTCCGCCAGCTGCTTCTCGCGGTGGAGTTTGGCCTTGCCTGACTTCAGGAGAGGGTGTTAGGGGACAGCTGGGGAATCCCCCTACACCCCTGAACCCTAAACCCCTAAGCCCTACACCCTGAATCCTAAACCCCCCAGCCCTGCACCCTGAACCCTAAACCCCGAGCCCGAAATCCTGCCCAATGCCACAGTCCGAGTGAAGTACCGCAGTCCCAGCGATTAAACCCCTAAGCCCTGCACCTTGAACCCTAAACCCCTAAGCCCGAAACCCTGCCCACAATGCCAGAGTCCTAGGGAAGTACCGCAGTCCCAGCGATGGGGTTTACTTGAAGGTTCATGGTAATTACTAACCAATTATGACTGTACTTATAACCCCCTAGGTTCCCCCCCCTTAAATAACCTTAATTTCGGCTTACTTGAAGGTTCATGGTTACTAACCACTTATAACTGTACTTATAACCCTACTTATAATGCCCCCTAAAGGGCCTTATAGGGGTTATCCCAATTATAAGTAGGGTTATAAGCCCAGTTATAATTGGTTAGCAAGTACCATGAACCTTCAAGTAGGCTCCCAGGAGTCAGCCCGGGCGCGGTTGTCCTGCTCGATCCTTACTTCCCCAACAAGTAAAGCAAACAAGATCACTAGGACCCTCGAACTCTAGGTGCCCTAACCCCAAGACCCTAAACTACCAGTTGCTGAAGAACCCCCAAGAAATATAAACAAATCATCTTCTTCTTAAGGGCAATATAGGGATTAATATTTTGTGAATATTTTGGGGCTCTTAAGCAAATAGAAGTGAACCCTAAACCCCGACCAAATGAAGACTTGGAAAAATAGGGATCGTCTGGATCTTCTTGTCGAGCATGCCGACCTCGCGGCTGAGGCTCTCTTTCCTCGGTACCGGGTTTGGACTTGGGTTTAGGGTTTAGGGTTTAGGGTTTAGGGTTTAGGGTTTAGGGTTTAGGGTTTAGGGTTTAGGGTTTAGGGTTTAGGGTTTAGGGTTTAGGGCTTAGGGTTTAGGGTTTAGGGTTTAGGGTTTAGGGTTTAGGGTTTAGGGGTTTCGCGTTTCGGGAGGCTTCAAGGTTTGAGTTGAGGTCTTAGGGCTGCGTTTCCCATTGGAACCCCGAACCATCCACAACGCTTACAGCCCGGATAGGGTTGGGGGTTCAGTAGGTGGTTTAAGGTTTAGGGTTTCAGCGTTTAGTGGTCGTTTAGGGCTTTGTGGGGAGGATATAGGCAGCCAGCCACACTGAGCTTAGCCTGCCTGGAACCCCTACTTAATGACCTACGGACGAAGTCCCCCCGATCCTCTAGGACGCTGTGGATGGAGAAAAACGGGCTAGGGTTTCGGGGCAAGTGTGGTCCTCACAATGCTTTGCCTACAACGATCCATTCATCACTGTTATAATGTTGAAAACCAGGCAACGAAACCGAGAGCTGCCAAAGACTGAGCCCAAAACGTAAATCCAAAATACGCGAGCGCCCAACCATGCCCAATGCGTAATGCACGGTGAGGATACAAGCTGCAACGTCGGGCTGAAAAAAGGTTAGGAAGGCGGTTTGGGCGATGCTCCCTATCTGGCAAATAACAACTGGACAACACAATAAGAAAACACTGACCAAGACTGAGCGATATTCAACCACTCACCCTAAACCGTAAACCCTTAACCCTTCATTAGGACGTTGGGGGATGCAGGGCTGAAGTGCCAGTCCAAAAATATCTCCAAGCCGCCAAGCCCCGAACATCTGTAAACCCGGCTTAGGGTTCAGGGTTAGAACTCAAAACCCCTAAACGAATCCCTTAATCTTAATTCCCAATATACTGTCCCTATACATACCTTGTCTAGTCCCTACATACCAAGGCGGCCCCTACATTACCCCTTGTAAGGTCCCTTATAAGGTCCCTCCTGTAGTCCCTTAAATAAACCCGGTACGCCGCGTTGGCATCACGTATCCCTACACTAACAATGGTGAAGATGAGGCGGCAAGCGCTCTCTGGACTTGGTGACGAACCATACGGGACAGGCCGGCCCAGGGGCTCCAGGCCACGTGACAAAATGTCTGCTTTGTGGCCGTCTTTCCTCACAACCTCAACCCCTAAACCCTAAACTCTGTACAAACCCCAAAGCCCCAAAGCCCCAAAGCCCCAAAGCCCCAAAGCCCCAAAGGCCCAAAGCCCCAAGGCCCCAAAACCCCAAAGCCCATTTGTTCATACGTGTACTTCGTGTGCATTATAAGCGCCCCGGAAGAAGAGAATGTAATGTGTGAAGAGAACTAAACTAACGCAGTAATTACAATGAAACACAGTGAAGCGTTAATTAATGCGCGAATTTAGAGAACGAAACGTGCACGCCAAATAGTAAGTCTTTGTAAGGGCGTGCAATGAACGTACTAATCAGATGAAGAGAATTTAATACCAAAATGATAAGGAATGAAACGAAGTGTAAAGACGCATGAATGTTAATTTGACATGAACGAAATGGGCGTACGAAATGCAAGCGAATGAAGGATTTTGTACTAGCTTGCGAAATGTACGCACGAAGGCACAATAAAAAGACCACATAATTTCCCAAAGCCCCAGAGCCCCCCAGAGCCCCCCAGAGCCCCCCAGAGCCCCCCAGAGCCCCCCAGAGCCCCAGAGCCCCCCAGAGCCCCACAGAGCCCCAAAGCCCCGAACTCCGAACCCCCTTGGAAGCCTTGAGATTTAGAGTTCTCGGACTCTGGGGGAGCAGGGGGCTTGAGGGCTCCAGGGCTTCTCTACGAGATCTGACGGTACCTCCTTAAAGGTTTTAGGATTTCGGCTTTGGGGTGTTCAAGGAAATTTCGGGCTTAGGGTTTTAAGGGAATTTCGGGTTCAGGGGTTTCTAGGGTTGAGAAAACTTCGGGTTGTTTTTTGAAGATCTAGGGTTTATTTTAGGATTTATGGTTTTGGAAGTTTGGCTTTAGGTGTTTCAAGGGATTGAAAACCTGCAACCAAAAACAAACCCTTAACCCGTTAAAGCCCTAGGAAAGCCCACAAAACCTTGAAAGCCCTAAGCCTTAAATGAAATCCAAAACCTCCACCACAGTGGGGGGGAACGACGCATTATAGTGTGGGTATATAAATAGAAGTATATATATTATTTATGAACTCATTGTTGTATGTACTTATTTCAAAAAAAAACACGCAAAAAGCCTAAACCCTAAAACCTAAACCCTGAACCCTAAACCCTAGACCTGACACAAAATCTTAGGGTTTAGGGTTTAGGGTTTAGGGTTTAGGGTTTAGGGTTTAGGGTTTAGGGTTTAGGGTTTAGGGTTTAGGGTTTAGGGTTTAGGGTTTAGGGTTTAGGGTTTAGGGTTGCCTTCCAGAACCCCGGAGTCCAGAGAACCTCCTCTAACCCCGATACATCACAACCCTTAAAGAGCTAAACTTCCTCGCAAGGTTTAGAGGTTAGGGTTTAGGCTTTTGGGGTTTAGGGTTTTGGGGTTGAGGGTTTAAGGTTTCGGGTTTCGGGTTTAGGGTTTAGGGTTAGGAAGCGAATCCTGTCCAAGATTCTCACGTTGTATGTGATTGACCACCTGGTAGCCCTGAAGTTTCAACTGCAGCTTAGCAGCCTGCACATGCGAGGGCGGGTTTAGGGTTTAGGGTTTAGGGTTTGGGGTTTAGGGTTTAGGGGTGGATATAATGGCCCGTCCTGGTAGGGTTGGGTTCAGGGTTTCGGGATGAGGGTGGTTAGGGTGTGGGGTTGAGGGTGGGCAGGGTGCTGTGGTGCGGTGTTGAGGTATGTCTGTCATGAACCTTCCTCTCCCCCCCCCCCCCCCCCCCCCCCCCCCCCGAATCTAAAGTGTTCGGGAGGATTTTTTCGGGACACACGAAGTTTGTGCTAACACCCTGGACCCGAACACCTCTTCCCTAAACCCTACATAGCCCTTGAGCCCGTAAGCAGAAGGGTTTGACAATCAAAAAACATCTGCAACCTCGTAGCCCGTATAAAATTTTAGGGAACCTCAACTTCCAAAACCTCAATTAAACTCCAAAATCCTCCAACCCCACCCCCCTCCCCCGTGGCGACCCAATAAACTTAAAACCCCCAAACCCCTAAAAACCTGGACTCCCTAAACCCTAAACCCCTAAACCCCTAAACCCCCAAACCCCTAAACCCCTAAACCCCTAAACCCCTAAGCCCCTAAGCCCCTAAACCCCTAAGCCCTAAACCCTAAACCCTATAAGGCCTAAACCCCTAAACCCTTAGCAGCCCTAAGCCCAGTTCAGGCAGGAGGGTGCGGAAGCTCCGTTACTGCAACCTTCCCAAACCCCGTAACCGTGCAACCCTACACGGAGGCGCCCCCTTACTAGACTAACTATAGTTAAGGGACGTGCAGCCAAAATTAGGATCCTGATAACTGACAACCCAAGTTAGGCTCTTACAACTCTAAGTTTAACTAGGAGGGGGCCCCTCCTTGTAACACACCCTAAACCCTAAACCCTAAACCCTAAACCCTAAACCCCAAACCCTAAACCCTAAACCCCAAACCCAGCCTGGCCCCCGTGGCCGGACCAGCGCCCGTGGAGAAGGTGGGAAGCTTCGGCGGGGAGGTCCAATGCAGACTTGGCCTCCGCCCTTGCTCCCGACTTAACTGCCGTTGGCTTTCTAGGCCTCTGGCCCTTCCGTTTCATCACCACCTGGGGGTTTAGGGTTTAGGGTTTAGGGTTTAGGGTTTTAGGGTTTAGGGTTTAGGGTTTAGGGTTTAGGGTTGGGGTTTAGGGTTTAGGGCTTAAGGCTTTAGGGTTTAAAGAAGGGAGCCCTAAAACAAACCTCCAAGTAGTAGGATTCTCTCTTAGAAGATGTACCCCCGGAGAAGGTAACCCCTAATTCCGGAAGCCGCACCCGCCCCCCCCCCCGCACCTCTTTTCTCTCCTTCTTGGCTTCTTCCTTCTGCAGTCTGGCCCTCCTCTTCCTGGCCTTCGGATTCGTTCGCTTGGGCCTGCCATGGTGCGCCCGGAGGGCGAGGCGAGCCCTGGAGGCTTGCCCTGAAGCTGCCTTTAGAGGCAGCAAAGCCGACGTGACCAAAGGGTGGCACAGTTCCTCCAACGGGCACCTTGCGCGCACCCACAGGGGCCCCGCGAAGTTCGGCGCCGAAGAGAGCGCTGCGACCACCGCGGCTGAGAGGAGTAGAGGTAGCCGGGCCTCACAGGCAGGGCAACCCACATGTCATGTGGAGACCCGAAAGAGGAGGAAACTAGGTAGAAGAGTCTCCTTACTGGCCACAGGAAAAACAGATACAAGGTTTCATAAGGCCAAAGAACGACCTATCAAAGGTCCTCAATAAGGCCAAAGCACGATCTATCAAAGGAAACCCTCAAAGTGTTGAGGGTTTAGGGTTTGGAGTTTCGAGTGTTGGGCTTAGACTGTCAAGATCCTAAATCTGGGCGTGGGGGTTCGGGGTTTAGGGTTAAGTGTTTTTAGGGTTTAGGGTTTCGGGTTTCGGGTTTAGGGTTTAGGGTTTCGGGTTTAGGGTTTAGGGCTTAGATGGTAGAAAAGCTTGTGGTTTGGGGTCTTGGGTTGGCGGGCAAGCTTGTGCTGCTGCTTGCAAGCCCGTCATCGTGGAGGGAAATGGGGATATATCCTCACAATGGGGCCCCTATGGTGTACTCCGTATGGCTCAGGGGACGCGAAAGGGCCTCAACAAGTCTGCACAGACGACGTTGCCATCCTTCAGCCTGCCTACATGCGCCCGACACCTTGCACCCTACCTTCGACCCAACAGACCTGCAGTTTTCTCGCCTACTAGCAGGATCCCTAAACCCAAAACCTAAACCTGAAGCCTTCCGTTTTCTAGCCTCAGAGCCGTTGAGTACACATGTACCTTCTGGAAGCCGCTAAAGCTGAGAGGATCTGGGATCTAGTTGAGGTCACGAGGTGACATCCAGGCCCTAAATTCGTAACCCTAAACCCTAAACCCTATAAAAGCCCCCCCGTATGGGGGGGGGGGGGGCTGGATTCCAGAAGCAAGCGCAGCCCTGCTTCCAGATACTAGAAAAGGCAACTTGGGCACCCTCTACGAAATAGAAAGTTCCAGATAAACTAGGCTGCGGTAGAACTTTGGGGGTGGTGAGTGTTGCACATAAAGTATGTATCTACATATAACTATGTATGTATGTATGTATGTATGCATGTATGTATATATATATATATTTTTTTTTTATTTACTTATTTATTTATTTATATGGTATATATTCGTATGCGAAATCAGAGCACGACATTGAATTTAGGCTTCTGCATTGCACAGCTTCTGCAGCAACTGGCTGGGCTTCAAGAGTTTGCATCAAGGCCCTAACGATCCGAAACCCTAAAGCCGCAAGCCCCTAAACCCTTAAAACCCCCTCCGGATAATCGAATAAAACTATTGAAAAAACAAAAAGGAAAACAAACAAGTACGATCGCCCCCCCCCCCCCCCCCCCCCCCCCCCCAAAGCCCCCTAAACCCTCACCCAAAACCCCAAACCAACACCAAAAAACGACGAAACTCTGAACCCTAACACAGCCCCCAAACCCCCTGAACCCCAAAACCGAAGCCCAAACCGAAACCCAAAACGACGAAACTCTGAACTCAGCATTCTGTGCCTGCGTCCCTCTCCCCGATCGAGCCATGGCTCTCAAAACTCAGCCCCCGAAGCCTGTTTAGTGTTTAGGGTTTCTGGTTTAGGGTTTAGGACTTATAGGGTTGAGGGGATCGACCCTAGGCCACAAGCCCTCAAACCCCAAACGCCAAAGACCCTCGGCTTCAATTAGCTTAGGAGCCCCTAGAACCCCCAAAAGGGGCTTAGGGATTAGGGTGTGGGGTTTAGTGTTTAGAGTTTAGGGTTCAGGGTTTGGGGTTTAGGGCTTAGAGCCCCCCTCTTTACCTGCTTGCTGAGTCCTTCGATGCTGCAAGAACCACGCTTCAGACAGTTCGGTCAGGGGCTTCTCAACCTAAGGGTTGGAGCCTCGGATCCTGAATCTAAGGGACTAAGAAAAAGGGGCCTTTGGGACGAAAGTCTCGGTTTACTGATTGGGGTGTAGGGTCTAGGGTTTCGGGAGTGGCGTTGAGGGTCTAGGATTTAGGGATTGGGGTTGAGGGTTTAGGGTCCAGGGATTGGGGTTTAGGGTTTAGGGTTTAGGGTTTAGGGATTGGAGTTTAGGGTTTAGGGATTGGGGGTTGGGGTTTAGGGTTTAGGGATTGGGGTTTAGGGTTTGGGATGCATATCTAGAAACCATATGGGGCTGCATGCCCCTTTAGGGGAGATGTTTCTAGGATCACGTACCTACGGTGTTTAGGGCATTCAGGGTTCAGGTTCTCAGGGTTTAGGGTTTAGGGTTGTAAGATGCGCTGCTTTTGTCCCCTGGAAACACGCGCCCCCGCGTGCTCTGTTGCAGCAGGGATTAGGCGTCATCGTGCACCTGTGATGCGCGCGAAGGCACCCGGACCCCCTTGGAGACCTCCCTAAACCAGAAACCCCCTTCAAAGGCAGAGTCCCTACAGGCCCTCAAGCCCTGAAACCCATAAACCTCTCAACCCCGAACAGCCGAAAAAAAAAAAAAAAAAAACCTTGAACCTGAACCCTAAACCCTAAACCCTAAACCCTAAACCCTAGAGTGCAGGTTGAGGGCTGAGGGTGTTCAGAGGTTCAGGGGTGCAGGAGTTGAGGTGCAAGTTGGGATGCTTCCAACTTATACAAACCGTCCTTCATCGGGAATATAGTACCCCCTAGTATAATCCCCATGACGGACTGGTAGGATAAGCAACCCTGCACCCTGCAAACCCTGCAAACCCTGCAAACCCTGTAAACCCTATAAACCCTGTAAACCCTATAAACCGCATAAACCCTATAAACCCGATAAACCCTACAAACCCTACAAACCCTATAAACCCTGTAACCCTATAAACCCTATAAAACCTGTAGAAGGGGGAAGATCCCAAGGTGTAAGGTTTAAGGCTTTGGGTTTGGGGGTTTTAAGGTTTTTGGGCAGGAGGTCAAGGTTCTCCTTGAAAGCCTGTGATGTGTTTGGGGTTCAGGGTTTAGGGTGTAGGGTTCAGGGTTTAGGGTTTAGAGTTTAGGGTTTAGGGTTTAGGATTTGGGGTTTAGGGGTTAGGGTTTGGGGTCTTTAGCGAAGCCTACACTAGACCCATCAACCCCGAAAGTATTGAGGGGATTGTTTGGGATGTTCCCCCGTATACTAACAGGCCTTAGCAGGCCTTAGAAGGGATAAAACTCGGGGGTACGATTTAGGGTTTAGGGCTTAGTTAGCTGTTAGCATAAAGGGGGGTATCCCAAGGGATTGTTTTCGAAACACTTGTGTGCCCCCTAACCTAAGCCTCAAGCCCTAACCCAACCCTCAAACCCTAAACCCTAAGAACTACACTTACCAGGGGGTAGTACCCAGATCCCCCAAACCCCTAAATTAAGGAATAGACCCTAGTTGATACTAAGGATCCTGATTATGAATTAGGGTATATTCCTAAGTCCTAATTGAGGGGTTTTGGCCCCTAAACCCTAAACCCTAAACCCGAAACCCTAAACCCTAAACCCTAAACCCTAAACCCTAAACCCCAAACCCTAAACCCGAAGCACCTGCTCCTCCTCTGCAGCGAGCTCGCGCGCGTAGCGCGAGGGGTCGGCCAAGCCAGTCCCCTGCGCCTCCACCTGTTTGAGGCATAGCGCGTTTAGGGTCCCTAAACCCAAAACCCAAAACCCCAAACCCTAAAACCCTAAACCCTAAACCCCAATCCCCTGATCCTTAGACGCTCTAAACCCGAAATCCGAAACCCGAAGCCCTAAACCCAGAGGGGTTCAGCAGATTGTACCCATCCAAGGGGTCCAGTGCCATAATTCCACTGCAGCTTAGTAGGGTTTAGGGTTTAGGGTTTAGGGTTTAGGGTTTAGGGTTTAGGGTTTAGGGTTTAGGGTTTAGGGTTTAGGGTCTGTGCCCACCCCAAAAAGGGAAAATGTAATGTGTCCCAAGGCCCTACCGGGAAAAGCATGCCATGCAACAGCCACGAAGCGATCAGAGACAAGACTCCAACCTCGAGTTCCCTGACTTCTAGTCTCTAAAGCCCCTGAAACCCTACACCCGAAATCCTGAAACCTAGAGCTCTACACCCTGAAACCCTAAACCCAAAAACCTAAAGCCCAAAAACCCCTGGCCATAAACCACTTTAACGCCTGGAACCCCAAAACCCGCAAAACCCACAAAATCCTAAAACCCTGAAACCCTCAAACCCCAGCCCTGCGAAGCTCTTTCATCTCATCTACCCCTAAAGCCATCCGAAAAATATTCCTGAATATGATCCTCTTAAACCCAATAAGGGAAGATATAAGCCCTAAACCCTAAACCCTACACCCTAAACCCTAAACCCTAAACCCTAGAAAACTCCCAAGGGCGCTACCGAGTCATTGTCTGAAAGTGAGGCCTCGTCGAGGATCTCAAGCGCCCGCGCCTTAAGATCTAAGGCTTACCCTAGAGCTCCAATTCTACTGGCGCATTTTGTATGTGCAATATTAGCATTACATGCTGACTCGTGTGACCCAAAAGTAGGAACAAATAACAAAGATAAACAAATGGTTACAACTGCTGGTGTGTATGTATGTTGGGCCTTGCAGGGCTTTCAGGGTTGGGGCTTTGGGCTTTGCAGTTGTGCTTTAGGGTTTAGGGTTTAGACGGGCTTTCGGGTCTAGTAAGGGTTTAGGGCATCAGTTTAGGTTGTCTAGACCTACCCATATAGCCCAAAAACTCAACCCGGCACTCTGGGTTTAGGGTGTAGGGCTTTAGGGTCTATGTAGGGTCTGGGGTGCAAGGCTGAGGGCCCAAGGACTTCCAGGGTTGCAGGGCCTGTGGGGTTTGGGGTTTCGGGTTGAGTAGGGCTTAGGGTGTAGGGTCTAGGGTTTAGGATTTCGGGCAGCGCCCCTTAAACCCTAAACCCTAAACCCCCAAACCCCCTAAACGCACACCCCTGAACCCCACATCTGTTGTTTTTTTCTCACGCGCTCTGCATCTTCTTTAACCCTAAACCCTAAACCCTAAACCCTAAACCCTAAACCCTAAACCCTAAACCCTAAACCCTAAACCCTAAACCCCCTAAACGCACATCTGTTTTTTTCCTCACGCGCTCTGCACCTTCTTCTCCGGTACGAGTGGGGTCGTCTCACCGAGGAGGTGCGCCTTCTCGTACCAGTCCCTCAGAGCATCGAGGCGTGGGGTTTGGGGTTTGGGGTTTAGGGTTTAGGGTTTAGGGTTTAGGGTTTAGGGTTTAGGGTTTAGGGTTTAGGGTTTGGGGTTTGGGGTTTGGGGTTTGGGGTTTGGGGTTTAGGGTTTAGGGTTTAGGGGCCTTAACAATTAGAATAGGGTTTGGCTCGGTTGTTCTAGTATCTTGATACAGGGACTACAAGGGAATCCTATTCGTCTTGATGCCGACCCTTATAGTACACTCAACCCGGTACCGCAAATTTTAATACGTGGTTTCGGGCTCAGGGCTTCGCGAAGGAATTTTGTCAGAAGTCTCGGAAGTGCACTTGGGCAGGTTACGGGGTTTGAAGCCTGAGCCCCAAAACCCAACAAAAAAAAAAACTAAACGCTCAACCGGCGAAATCCCGAAATCCCAGACCCAAGCCGCGAACCAAACAAAGCCCTAGCTCGGCTCCTTAGTTGCTGAGTCCACAGGCTCCAAAGAAGTGCACACTTTCCATTCTGTAGGGGATTATGGTATCCCAAAAAGTGTAAAGTGTACTCACTCACCTACTAGGGCTCTAGGTATCACGGTCTGTGGGATGTCTGTGCATGGGCGGCGGCGGGGGGGAGGTGTGTGCTTGCAAACCACCTATTCTCGGAAGCCCTCACATGACTTGCTAGCCCAGCAACCATAAAAAATAAGGGCACCCTTTTTGGGTTGCTTTACAAGGGTTCAACCTTAAACCAAAAAAAGGGGGAACAGGGCCTTACCAGGCTACCAAGATGAGTTGGGAGCCTCCCCGTGGCCCTAAACCCTAAACCCTAAACCCTAAACCCCAAACCCTAAACCCTAAACCCCAAACCCCAAACCCTAAACCCCAAACCCTAAACCCTAAACCCTGAACCCTGGACTCTTAACCCCAATCATGGCTCAGCACCCGACTCAGTGGACTGCCAGGCCAGCATGTGCAGCATCGACACCAGACAGCACTCGAGCACCTCAGAGTTTAGTCTTCGTTTTTTTGAGTTTAGGGTTTAGGGTTTAGGGTTTAGGGTTTAGGGTTTAGGGTTTAGGGTTTAGGGTTTAGGGAAGAGGGTTTAGGGTTTAGGGTTTAGGGTTTAGGGTTTAGAGTCCGAGCATTCACTAGTCAAGCAGCTTGTCAAGTGTTGGAAAAAATCCCACCCACCCAAGAAAACCATAACATTGAGAAAATATAAAGTTCACTCAATACTTTCCCGGTAGGCTTAAAGCTCAAAGTCCAATTGGTCCAAAATATTTTAGTTTTTAACGGACCCAAAACCCGAAATCTAATCTAAGGCCCGCAATAAGCCCTTTTATGCTCTTAGGGCCCTAAACCCTACGGTTTAGAAGCCCCGATCGGTGAAGGCTCGGTTTTGGTCAAAAATCCAGAAAACGAGAGCCCACCCAGAACCGTCGATTTCAG